GGGGAGGGGCTCCGTGTTCCTCAAGTGTCTCGCAGCTTGCCTCGGGTTTTCCTTAGGTTTTCGATGGGGAATCGAAGTTCATCTCATGGGAAAAAGGGGCCTCGTTCCTTATTTAGGGTTCCTTAGGTCAGTGCCCCGACTGAACTCCCTGGCCCCTGCCCGAAGATGCGGCGCCTCGTCATCGGTGAAGAAGGCATGGCGTGCACAGAAGCTGTCGGAAGTCCGCGCGGAGTGCTTGGATCTGCGCCGGATCCGGCGCCGCCCCGAGCCGAGGAGTCCGCCCGGAACTCCGACGGTTTGTGGCTGGGCCCTTCTTTCGTTCTTCACTGCAGCAGTAACACTCTGGTGGGTTTCACTCGGCGGCGCGTCATCGTTTTTTTATTTTTATTTTTATTTCTCTCTCTCTCTCTCTCTTTCTCTCTCTCCTCCCCCCCCAATCGCACACCACCCCGGGTCGCCGTTGGCCTGCCCAGAGGCCCAGGCATCACCCGAACTCGGAAGGCCCGGCCTCCTCTCCTGCGCGCTCCGCGAGCTCTCCCGCGGCCTGCCGCCCGACCGCGCGCCTGGAAGTTCGGCCTCGTCTTCGCAGCTGGGTGCACGCGCGGGGTCGGGCGTCCGACGTGGGCGGCGCTCGGATGGGCGAGGGCAGGAGGAGGAGGAGGAGGAGAAGGAGGAGGAGGAGGAGGAGGAGGAGGAGGAGGCGGAGGAGGGGGAGGAGGAGGCGGAGGAGGAGGAGGAGGAGGCGGAGGAGGGGGAGGAGGGAGGAGGAGGAGGAGGAGGAGGAGGAGGAGGAGGAGGAGGAGGAGGAGGAGAGGAGGAGGAGGGAGGAGGAAGAGGGAGGAGGAGGGGGGAGGAGGGGGGGGTCTCCGGCACCTCTTGGGCCCCAGATTTGGTCGACGTCGGGGCGGTCCGCCCAAGCGCCGACCGCCGCATCCCAGAGGGCGTGGAGAGCTCGGCCGAAGGCGGCCCAGCTCGGCCAGCGCCCGTGCGCGTGCGATGTGTTCTGGGAGCCGCCTCCCGTCATGTCGGATGTCTCTGGAGGTTTTCGGTCTGAGATCCTCTCCACGGGATGGCCGTCGAGCCTGGCCAGGATGTGGTTGGAATCTGGCCAGGTCGATGCGGAGGGCGAGGGGACAAAAACGAGGAAGACGAGAAACCGGAGGAGGAGGAGAAGGGGATAGTGGAGATGATGGAGGAGTTGATGGAGGAGGCGGGCGCGGAAGCAGGGGCGGAGGAGGAGGAGGAGGGAGAAAAAAAAAACGAATCGGGGCGGCGGTCTTGGAGCATGGGATTCATGAGAAGCAGGATGAGGAGGTAGTAAATTTTGCTTCCGCTTCGGATCCCGACCCCTTGGGGTCCCCGCAGTCCCCCAGAGGTCCTTGGAACCCCCGGAGGTCCCCAGAGGTCCAACCAGGTGCAAACAACGAAAAACATGTTTGTTTCAAACAAACAACATCTGGGAGCAACACTGAGCAGAGGAAGGACGGGCAGCAGGAGAAGGAGTACCTGCAGCAGCGGGAGTTACTGTGAGAGAGCATCCCTCCAGGAGAGTGTACCTCGAGCAGGCTCCCGGCGCGCTTCCCCGCGGCGACGACGACACCGTCGTCGTCGTCGTCGTCGTCGTCGTCGTCGTCGTCGTCGTCGTCGTCGTCGTCGTCGTCGTCGGCGCCATCGGCGCCGTCGAGGTCCTCGTCGTCATCGCCGTCGTCGCCGCCGTCGTCGTCGTTGTCGTCGTCGCCGTCGTCGGCGCCGTCGCCGTCGCCGTCGCCGTCGCCGTCGTCGTCGTAGTCGTCGACGTAGTCGTCGTCGTCTTCGTCGCTGTTGTCGTCGGCGCGGAGCACGTCGTTGACGCCGTCGCTGCCTTCATCGTCGGTGCCGTCGTCGTCGCCCTCGCCATCATCATCGTCGTCGTCACCGGCGCCGTCTCCATCCTCGTTGCGGCCGTCTTTGGAGTACGTAGCCGTCGTTGTCGTTGTCTTTGTCGTCGGCGTTGGTGCCGTCGTCGTCGTCGTCGTCGTCGTTGTCGTCATCGTAGTCGCCATCGTTGTCGGCGCCGTCGCCGTCGCCATCGCCATCGTCGTCGTCGTCTTCGTCTTCGTCGTCGTCGTCGTCGTCATCGGCGGCGCCTTCATCATCCTTGTCGCCGTCGTCGGAGCACGTAGCACGTAGCCGTCATTGTCGTCGTCATCGTCGTCGTCGTTGTCGTCGTCGTCGTCGTCGGCGCCAGCGCCGGCGCCGACGCCGGCGCCCTCGCCGTCGCCGTCGCCGTCGCCGTCGCCGTCGCCGTCGCGTCGTCGTCGTCGTCGTCGTCGTCGTAGTCGACGTCGTCGTCATCGTTGTCGTCGTCGTAGTCGACGCCGGCGCCCTCGCCGTCGCCGTCGCCGTCGCCGTCGCCGTCGCCGTCGCGTCGTCGTCGTCGTTGTCGTCGTCATCGGCACCGTATTCGGAGTACGTAGCCATCGTCGTTGTGGCCACCGTCGGAGTACGTAGCCATCGTCGTCGGCGCCGTTTTCGTCATCGTTTTGGCCGTCGTCGGAGCACGTAGCCGCACGGAATATGGCTTCTTGCGGTCCGCCTTTCGCGGCCATTGTCGAGCGAGTTTGGGAGGGTGTCCGCCGCCTCCTCCCCCAGGAGGAGGAGGAGGTTGATCGTTGTCAAGCGAGGAAGGGTGTCGGCCAGGGGTGTGGCACGAGCCTGTTCGTGCCCATATTGCAGGGACATGTCATGCGACTTGTATCTCTTGGCGCAGTGCACGGGTCTCTTGTCGTAGCCCCCATGGCCACCACGATGTAGCAGGCAGTGCATGTGGCGTTCTGTTTCTGATTCCAGGATGGTGCAAGGGGTATTCGTTCTCCCGCTTACTCCGTCTCCTCCTCTTCCTTTTTTGTGATCGTTCCCCTTCCTTCTGCTCACCCTTGCCGTCCCATCCAGATAGATGTGACTTTCTTTGCTGGCAACCTTTTGATAACCCAGCTGCCCAGTGCGCTTCTGACAGAACTTGAGTACGCTTCGCGAATCCCCACCAGCCCGTTCAGAAGCCCTGCCCAAGAGAGCTGTCGGGAAATGTAGAGAAGAGACACACATAGTGAAACAGAGCGTGCCAGGAGAGGAGATGAAGGAGGGTATTGAGCCATCTTGGAGGCTATCTTGGAGCATCCGAGGCCTTCTTGGAGCTCCGGGGCCGTATTGTGGGATATGGGGGTCCTCTTAGAGCTCTATTGGGGCATCTTGGGGTCCTCTTTGGGCTCTTTGGGGGTCTTGGGGTCCTCTTGGGGGGCTCTTTTGAGCGCCTTGTGGCCCTCATGGGGCCCTCTTGGGGCTCTATTGAGGCTCTCTGGGAAGCCTCTTGGGAGCCCTGGAGGGCCTCTTGGGGCTGTCGTGGAGGGTGTCCATGAAAAGAGGGGGGGTACTAACGTTTAGTCCCCCCTTCTGGGCCATCAAATTAGCCTCTTGGGACGCTTTCGGGCATCTCTTGTGGCGCTCTTGGGCGATCTTGGGCGATCTTGGGGCCGTCTTGGGGGCATCTTGGGCCCCTCTTGGAGCTCTCTTTCTTGGGGCCACATTGACGCCTCGAAAACGCATCGGAAGCGAGAAGGCGAGAAGGCAACGATCATTGATTTCCTTTGGCTTTGGTATGATGTTGGCTTCTCGGGGAGGTTCTGAGGGGTGTCCAAAAGCACTTGGATTCGTCTTGTGGCCCTCTTGGAGCCTATTGGAGGCATGTTCTTAGCTATCTTGAGCCATGTTGGGCTATCTTGAGCCATCTTGCAGGCCATCTTGGGCTCTCTGATGCCCTCTTGGAGCCATCTCAGGCTGTCTTGGACGCCCTGACCGCTCGCGACCCCCCCCGTCCAGATCCAGGGGAGGAGGGAGGAGGAGGGGTAAACCCCATCCCCAGAGGGGAAAAAGGGTTTTTCAAAGAGGAAATAAGAAACATCGTTAGACCACCTGTCGCCCAGAGGGCTGGTGGGATAGATAGGGTAAGGCATCAGCGATCTTCTGTTCCTCCCCCTTGGACTCGAGGAGTCAGGGATCCGCGATCGAAGGGGCACAGCTTTCCGCTCCAGGATAGTATCAAACATCGTCTGGTGCAAGAGGGAACTTGGACAGGTTTCCTTCAGTAAAGGCTCTCAGCGATGGAATCAGCGATCCCTCAGGAGTCAGGGAGTTCAGAATCAGGGTATTCGCGTCCCTGTATGAGGAGCCCATGGGGCTTGCACCAATTGTTTTCCATGTGATACGCTCGCTGGCGGGGACCTCGGCCGAGCTAACAATGTTTGGAATGCTAGTGCAGGCGCTTCCGAGGGAGACCGCCGTTCTCGGCGAGCCGTGGGTCCCAGAGGGGCTGCAAGCCCTCAGGTTTTTTTCTTCGCTTCTCTGAGCATCGCTGGCGTGCAAGGTGTTCTCCTCGTGCGCTTCGTGAAGCGGCGTCTCCGGGATCCTGGCCGATGCCTCCGGGTCGCGACGGTCGGAGCAGGTTGCTCTCAGCGTCACGGGCGCTTTGGCAGTGCGGTGAGAAATCTCGTGAGCGACCCGAGTGCCAGCGATGAGCTCAGCGAAATTTTGCAGCAGGTCTTCCGCATACACTTTCCACTTGATCAGCGCCGTGGGGTCGCCTTCGGCAGCCTTGCGCGGTACGATATTGATGTAAAGCAGCGGTTATGCTGGTCGAGTGTTGGCAAGCAGCAACGCCGCCACTATCAGGACAGACCCTAGCGTCAGCAGCACCGCCACCATCAGGGCATTGTCATCATTTCGGCTCAAATAGCAGCCCCTGCTCAAGAACTGCAGGCACCATGAGGTCTGCGCGCAACTACCGCCTGCCAAATCTTGGAGCTGACAGTGAACTCGTCCGAGTAAGACTCTTGTGTCGGCTCTGTGTTACCATTGTGCCGCTGTCATGTTTGATAGTGTTGTCTTGTTCGTTGTCGACAGTTGCCTATGCAGCACCTCAGCGCAATGGCTTGCATGTGCATCGTGCACAGGCATGCAGGAGAAGAATGGTGGGGGATGCTCAGGGTATGTTATGTAGCATGACACGGCGAGCCCGAACGAGCGGGCGTTCTTGCATGGGCAGCACAGTGGGTGCCCCCCCCCAGCCGTTGTTCTCCGGCCTGTTGAAGAGGTTGAGGATGAATGATCCGAGATTTGGTGGCGTCGGCTACGATGTCATTGACGTGCGCGTGCTCACCGCGGCAGGGGACTCGGTGGATGCATGCTTCATGCTTGATACGGGTGTCACTACGAATCTGGTAACCTCCGCCCTTTTTGATCGTCTTGGTGTGCCAATCGAAGCTGGACAAGTCGATGGCGCTGCACTTGTTGGCTCGTTGGAGGGACTATCGGCAACCAAGCTTCCTGGTTTCGAGCTAGCAGGACCTGCAAACACCAGCACACACCGCTGGATTTGTCTCCGCGAAGATGCAAACGGTTCGCGCGCTTGGGGCTTCGTTGATTGGGATTCACTCTTGGCCGAGGCCAGAAGTGCAAATGGCCGCGTTGTCTGCGGCAAGCTCGAATGGATAGTTTGCGCCGTATCTGCAGGTGAAATGCTGGAAGACTCTGTGGGACGACGCTTCGTAGAGCACATCGAGGGTGAGATGGCCGCCAGTGGTTCACACTTCAAGGGAAAGGGCACATCCATTGACCAAGGGTGCCCGATCGCCATCACCGATGCGTTCGATTTTCACTTGGAGGGTGACGTGCTCGTCGATCGTGCCAGTGGCTTGCGGTTCCGGCAGTCTCTCCCGCTCCCGGGCCCCATCCCAGCCACCTTGGCGCCGACCTTCATGCAGGAGGAGATGGCCGACTTCCAGGGCATCCGCCTGGGCGGCATACTCGGGCAGCTGCCCCTGCACAGGGCGTTCGCCATCGAGGTCGACCCCGTCGCCGGCAGGTACGCCGTGCACCTCCCCGAGTCCGCGGGCTCCCGGGGAGCAAAGACAGCACATAATCAGAGCGTGAATGACCTACCCCGCTTTCGCTTCCAGGCAAAACCAGGTCATACCGCGCGCCTCCTCGTCAAGCGGCCTGGCCAGTACAGGCCGTAGCTTGGCATCGCTTGGTATCTCTTGGGAGCGAGGGTGGTCAAAAGCGAGGCAGGTCTGTTTGCCCCCGACATAAAGGCGCACCAAGCAAAGAAGTCTGGCCGCCGGCAGGTGCCCTACCCCCACAGGAGGGGCATCGTCCCCCGACTGGCCCCCGGGGGCACGCCGAAGCTCTGGGGTCTGGGGCACCTTTGTCTGGAGGAAGGAAAGGGGTGTGACATAACGGGGTATGGTGCCAATCGTGGAAATATCGATGCTATCTGCGATAAATCACATCGCCAGAGTCCCCTTTACATAGAATTAACACCACACCCCTTTATACCATATCCCTTTCCTACCTCCAGACTTTGAGGACCCTCAGAGATCGGCAAAGAGTGTGCCCCGAGACTTCTGACAGCAAGATTCAGGAGGGAACAAAAGACACACAGACACAATTATAATCGTCGATCCCCCGGGGAATATGGGAAACTATGGGAAGTGGTGGGAAAGACAGAAAGCCAGAAAAAATGTGGAAATATGGGGAATATTTTTATTTGTGTGTATTTATTTGTGTGTCCCAGGGCCCCTTCAAAGATTCCCGTGTCGCATGTGCCCAGTGTATAAACACATAGAGTCTCGAACGTCCGCCCGACTGTCTGTGGCCCGCGCTGGAGACCCCGGCGGCGGCGCCAGTAGCGCGCCGGGGGAGAGGGACCTGGCGCCGACCCAGAAGGTCCGCGCGGGCCTCTGAAAGTGCATGTGCGGTTGTGCTTCCTTTTTTCCTGTGCGACAGGTTAGGGCTGCTGGGTTGCAGGTCATCGTTGTTGGTGCTGAACGTGTCGCTCCGCTGGTTCTGGCCCACCACGATTTGGCGCGACACGCTGAGCACGCCCCAGTCCCCGAACGCCAACGCCCCGAGCTGCTCCTGGCCTCCCGCCCCTTCGCAGCGGAGCGAGACGCTATTATCCGCTTGCGCGGCAGATCGTGCCGCTGGGGCCACCGCCGCGACGCGCTCTTTGTGAGCTGGACTTTCCGACCGCGGCCGCCAGGCCCCAAGCGTCCCGGTGCTCCCTGGGGATCCCGCCTCGCGCCTCCGATGAGCGGCGACTGCACGCCGTGGCCGCCAGGCCCCAATGGGCCGGGTGCTCCCTTCAGAGCGTGAATTACCTACCCCGCTTTCGCTTCCAGGCAAAACCAGGCCATACCACGCGCCTCCTCGTCAAGCGGCCTGGCCAGTACAGGCTGCAATTTGGCATCGTTTGGTATCTCTTGGAAGCGAGGGTGGTCAAAAGCGAGGTAGGTTTGTTTTCCCCCTATCCCTGGCGATCCCGCCTCACACCCGCCTCGCGTGATCGGGTTGGGGGTCCGACGTCGCGAGAAAAAGCAACGGCATCGCAAACAATCGCGACGGGAGCCCTGGACCCCAGCTCTCTGCTGCTTTTTTCGGGCCCGATCGATCTGAGATGGACCCCGGGGCCCAAAAATCTGCGAACATGCCCATTGTGAAAGAAATGCAACGCTTGGACCTCAGGGGAAACAGCTTATTCTGTGCCGTTATCTTGCTCCAGGCTGAAGTCGGGCCTGTCCCTCTACAGGAGGCGTACTCCAGAATATTTTAAAAAATAGTCTGGGGACGAGCTTTTGAGTATTTTGTCGGCATTTGTTGTACCTTTGATTGCCTGTTATTTTTCGTCCACAGTCCGCCTGTATCGGGCCGAACGAAAGGGGGGGATAGGGAAGGGGGGGGGTACGGAATCTGCTGCATGCAGCTGGTTTCAGACCCACCGAGGGGCCCAATTCTTGATCCATGGGCGCCTCCCGGCGCCGGGAGCCGCCGGGAAAATCAGCTATGCGCGAGCTGATTCTCAACCCCCCCCCTTTGCTATATCCCCCCCTTTCGGCCGGCCCGACTGTAAGAGGACACGGCCGCGCTACTTGAGTAGTGGAAACAATTGGTTTTCAAAATCTTTGGTCTTTCGAAGCTCTGCGTGGCGACGCCCCCGTCGCCACGCGTACCCTCTGCGTGCCTGCGGGGGCGCCGCCACGTAGAAGTACTGGAGACCGAGCATTTGGTGCGTCGCTGGGCGCGCCCTCTGCGTGGCTGCGACCATGTGTTAAAAACCCTGAAGCCAATTAAATTCGCTAACAAAGTAACCCCAGGCTCGCTCGCGGCCGCCGGCGGGCTGCAGCGGCTGCCGGGGGTGCGGCTCGGCAGCGGCCTGTTCGGCCTGCTGCTCGTGCACGCGCCGCTGTGCCCCTCGGCGGGCGGGGCGTCGGCGCCCAGCGCGGTGCCACCACGGAAGTGGGCTCCGGGGGGGGCCGCGGGCGGTTGAGCATTTTGTTTACCTGCACGAAGTCAGAGCCCCGAATCATCAGGGGTAGCTCGGGTCAGGGCTAACTCGGGTTCGTTTTTCGGGAATCCAAGCCCGAGTTACCCCAGACCCGAGTTACCCCGGATAACTCGGGCGTCCAGAGCCCCGAATCATCAGGGGTAACTCGGGTCAGGGCTAACTCGGGTTCCGTTTTCGGGAATCCAAACCCGACTTACCCCGGACCCGAGATACCCCGGAAAAACTCGGGCGCCCAACGAAGGAGCCCAGTGGCACGGCGGGCGACGGACGAGCGAAGGACGACGACGAACCGCGACCAGAGAGCACTCGAGGGGGGGAGGGGCGAGAGGGGAAAAGAGGAAGGAGGGCCAAGGGGGGGCGCCCGCGCGCGCAACGCCAGCCCCTCACAACCCGGGCGCGGCACCGCCAGCGCCTCCGCGGGCCCCAGCGCCTCCGCGGGCGGTTAAACACATCCATGCCCACGGTTTTGCGGTCCGAGATTCTCAGCGGCGATCCCACGGGGCGGCTTCTCGCGGACGCCTTGCACGGAACGCATCCATGAGATTGGGATCGCGCTTTGGAATCCAGCACGCGAGGGTATGGACATGGACATGTCCGTGGCTCGCGAGAGAAAAAAGGATCCTGGTCGGCTTCCGGGGCCCTCCCCGAGCCCCGCGGGGCGGCCAACAGGAACGGCCCAGGACGAGGGAGCTGGCCCTGGGCAGGCCCCTGGGTCCTGGGTCCAGGGTCCCTCTCCCCCCTGGGGCCCAGTGCTCCCTTCACGCCGAGGTGCCCGCCATCGTGGACAGCGGGTCGTCGATCACGATCTTCAACTGGCCAGCGGCGGAGGCGCTGCTCGGGATCCGCCGTGGGGACCGCGTCGTGGCCGAGGCGCCGCGCGTGAGGGCGGTGGGCGTGGGGGGCGGGCAGTCCGAGATGCCCGTCGTTGTGGTGTCCGTCGGGCTGGTGGGCGTGGCGGAGAGGGAGGGCGACCCGGTCCTCCTGCGCCTCCGCCTCTGCCGCGCCCTCCCACCTCAGAGGAGGAAAAGGCGCCGCTGCTGCTGGGGAAATGGGCCCCCCGGGACCCCCCAGGCAGAACCCCGCCCAGGAGCTTCAAAGACGCCCCAAAGCGTCCCCAGCCTCCTCGACTGCGTTTTCGGCTTCTCTGGGCCTCCTGGGAGGCCCTCGTCGCCACGGCTGGATTCGCCTCGACATTCGAGTCCGAGCGCACCCCAGGAGCGGTCTGCGGAGCAGCGGTATGGGTATCTTTTGATTCCCCCTTATCTCTGTCATGCCTTTCCTTATCCTCCTCCTCCGCCTCCTTCTCCAGGTCCTGCCCTCCTCCTTGCGTCCCTCTCATTCTCCTCTTCTCAGGAGGGAAAAAAACACACACAGACACAATGAATCGTCGATTCCCCACAAAATATGGACAATATGGGTAGTGGGGGGAAGACAGAAAGCCAGAACATAGGAAACAAAATGTGGGGAATCCTGTTATTTGTGTGTATTTGTTTGTGTGAACCCAGGGCCCCTTCGTCTTCCTCCTGCTGCTGATCCTCCTCCCGTTCTCCTCGCAGCCCGCTCCCGCGGGGCGAGGGCAGAGGAGGATGGCCCGGCCCAGTCCGCTGCCCTCTGTTTCGGCAGGCCGTTCCGCCCCTCGGGAGGGCAACGAGACGTCTGGCGGTGCGACATGGAGCAGTTGCTTATATGGAAGGGTGATGGAGGAGAAGGAGGAGGAGGAAGAAGCGGAGGAGGAGGAGGAGGAGGAGGAGGAGGAGGAGGAGGAGGAGGAGGAGGAGGAGGAGGAAGCGGAGGAGGAGGAGGAGGAGGAGGAGGAGGCCTAGGCGAGGCGGCGAGGCCCTCCCCCCCTCCCCCCCTTGGGAGCGCTCCAGTCCTCCTTCCTCTAAGTTCTTCGTTCTCTCGCTCTCTCTCTTTCTCTCTCTCTCGCGATCGCCCCCTCGGCGCCGAGAAGATGATCGCCCCCGCGGCGAGCACTCTCGTGGGACCCCCGCCCGCGGAGATGTCGTCGTGGCTGGACGCTTTTCTGGACGCGCTGCCCCGCGCTCTTCTCGTACGGCACGGTCGACTGCGCGCACCGCCTCCGATGGCACCTCTAGTGATGGACTCCGACATGGTACGTTCCAAGGACCAGACCCATGGAAGCTGGCCGCCGATGTGGAAAAGTCTCCACTTTCCCATCGCAAGAGCTTGCACAAGGAGCCACGCAGTCCGCCGCTCATTCTCTCCATGATGAAGCACGCCCTGCGCCTGGTACCCCAGCTGGCGGAGCCACGCAGTCCGACGCTCATTCTCTCCATGATGAAGCACGCCCTGCGCCTGGTACCCCAGCTGGCGTGCATGGCGCCGCTGCCCATGGTGCAGCGCGTCTCTCCTCCGTTGCCCCAGCAGCCGAACACGTTCATCCTACGCCTCCAGCTCAAGGGCCGCCTCTCCCAGGACTTCCTCCGGAGCTCGACTCCGTGCTGCAACAGCGCATGCAGCAGCAGGTGCAGTAAGCCGCCAGCACCTTCCAGGCGCAGGCCAACAACCTCCTCCACGCATCGCGGGGGAGCTTCCGTCAGCTCCTTCAGCGACAAGTGCGTCACCGTGTTGCAGGAAGTCCACGGCGGCGAGGCCCTCCTCCGCACGCGGGTGGGCACCCAGCCGTATCCCGACAAGCCCCCCTCCTCCCGGCTCAAGAGCCTCGGCGGCGACGCGCAGAGCGGCGCGGGAGGCGTCGCCACGCTCGCCCCGTGGTGCTCTCACGTGCAGCTCGAGCAGCGCCCGCCGCAGCAGCTCCCGTCCTCTGATCACGAGGTGGTTGCGGAGGGCCGCGTGCTGACCGTCTCCGCCGCCGACGTCAACTCGCTCAACTCCATCGTCGTCATGAACGTCCACAACCACGACATCAGCGCTGAGGACCGTGGCAAGGTCCGTCGTGATTGGCACCGTCATCGCCTGCATGGGCGGCGGCCGACTACCGCCATCGCATATGCCTGGCCATGTGCTACTTCGACACTGCCAGCCGACCGCCGAACAGCTTCTTCCTGGCCTAGCCGCAGCAATCCCGTTGCGCGCTCGACAACAGCGCCCGCCAGCAGTAGCCATTATGGAAAGCGTTCTTTCGACGCGATGCTCGAGATCGAGTCCGACCTCCCCGCCGGTTTTAACGTGTCGCCCCTCGCCGCGCCCGCCGTCGGCCGCGTCTCCATCGGCCTGCCATCGCATGTCACGCAGGAGCTCACTTCGAACATCACCACCGCCTGCAGCGAGCTCCTGGGCGGCCGCGCTGTCATCTCCATCGCCGCCGGCATCATGCTGAAGACGCCACTGTCTGAGCGGGCCATCGCACCTGCCACCTTCCGCGACCCCAGCTGCGCCATTTACTTCCAGCAGCCGCTCGACGCTACCCAGACGATGCATGTCCCGATTGTCAACCGCTGGCGCACTCGCAAGCGCCCCTTGGCAGAAGCTGCCCGCCTCGTTCGCGGCGACTGGGGTCGCCAGTCAGCCGACTCGGCTGGGCGCTCTGGCTCCAAGGACGGCCGCGCGATCGCGGCTCGCTCGTCGTCGAGGGCGATCTGGCGCTGAGACTTCGAGCTGGCGCGCAAGCTGCACTCCACCACCGAGTTCGGGCTCTCCTGCGGGCCCCATCAAAGCGTCGCCTCATCCTCCGAGGAATCAAGACCACTGGCGCCCGGCGGCCTCCAGGAGTGGCTAGGGAGAGCGGCGCTGCGGTGGACTCCCTGCGCAATCACTGGCAGCCCGTCTGCTCTGCCAATGTGGTCGACGCGGACCGCGCGAAGCACCGCCGCGAGACGCGCGCGCTGCGGGGGGCCGCCATCGACGTCGGCGCCCCCCAACAAGTTCAACGTCCGCGCTTTCCCTCGCCGCGCTACACCATCTGCGCCTGGCCCACATCGGCTGCCGCGCTCTGCCTGGATGGCGCGCCCTGACTCGCTTGACATCCTCGAGGGCCTCTTATTCCACCTCTGCTCCAACAAACCTTTCATCAGCGACCCCGACGACTCCTACTTCGCCAGCCTGCCCGAGAGTGACAAGTTTGCGGGATGGGGGGGGGCACTGCTGATCGAGCGCCTGAGGACACCAGGCCGCCCTCACTCAAGAACGTCGACATCAATGCCATCGCAGGCACCGCCAACGCCCGCGTCAAGAACGCGGTCTCCGGCCGCGCGCATCTTGCGCAGCGGGGCTTCGTCGTCGGCAGCAACCTCGCCCAGCGCGTCGTTCGCCTTGCCGAGATGAGGCGGACGGGCGTCTTGCTTGACGCCGACCGCCGCTTCCCTGACTTCGCGAGCGTCGACTTCGCAGCGATATGCCCCTCGCTTGGGAGGGCTTGGTTCGTCGCTTCTCTTGAGCGCTTCTGCGTGCCCATTGGCCTCGTGCGCCTCTCCTAGCAGATTTGCCACGCGCCGCGCAGCCTCGTCAAGTTTGCCGGAGTGCGCCACTTCACGTTCACGATCGAATCTGGCGTCGCCCAGGGCTTCCAGCCAGCGGACCGGCGCGAGCGATTGCCATGGGCCCGCTCATTCGCCATCTCGCGTCTTTCGTTGAGAACGCCGACGGTGCGCCGAACTACGAAAAATGCTTCGTCAGTGGCTGCGCGGACGACGCTGGCCTGCTCGCGCGCGAGTTCAACACCCTCCGCGAGCCATCTGGGCCATTCTCTGCCGCTGAGGAGCTAGCGCTCCTCTCTCTCATGTCTCGCGCCTCTCTGGGCCGCCGCGACCCCAGCCGTCATTGCCCGACGGGAATCTTTCCTGGCCGCGTTCTGCCTTCCATGGTGCGGTTTCTCGGTGGCGGGGCGAGCCAAGTACTTCTGAGCCTTCCTCGTACCTGCGGCCACTCTCGCTTGTCCATGGCTCGCCCCAGGGCCAACGTGGCGGCAGCTCGGAAATTTGCTGCGACGGGGAGAAATGACGCCACCCACTTTCAGACTTCACAATGCCTCGACACTCCCCACGCTCAACTATGTCGCGCAGTTTTTTCCGCTTGAAGACATAATCATTCGTCGCTAACTCTGCATGCTTCACAACGTGTTTAGCCTGCCGCCGAACGCGCCTTGCAAAGTTGATCTGCTCGCGATGGCGGAGTGGAGCCCGCCTCCAGTCTTTCGCTCTGTTCAAGTCACCACTGCACTCGCTGCCATGCGCTCCGTTCTGTTCACGCCCGGCGGTGACTGGGGGCCCTTCCACGACGGCCTTCGCGATGCCGCGTGGGAGGGGAGCGCTGTGCAGTCCTTCCATCGGCGGGAAGCAGGGCTCTGATCTCTGCCCGTCTGGGTAAAGACCAACGCCATCGCGCAGCCCTGTTACATACAGGGCCATAGCATCCCACCCGTTTCTGCAGCAGCCGCAGCCGCGGCGAGCCGCGCTGCTGCCCGTGAAATCCGCCAAGCGCCCGCAGCGAAACCGCCGCGCCGCCCCAGGGCGCAGCGAACCATCGCTCTGTCTCTCTGCACGTTCTCATCGTCTCTCACCGCTGCACCCCGCGAGCGTCGCGCAGAGGCCCCTGCGTGTTCGCTTGCACGGGCGCGCCTGCTTCATTCCCCCACTACCTTTCCTGCCCTGTCCTCGTGAGCCCCCCCTGGTCCCCCGAGTTCCCTCCCCTCCTCGGCACGCTTACTACGTGGGCCATGGGCCCTGCAGCCGCCCACCCTTCTGACCCCACCAGCGACCTCTCGTTGCGGTGGGCGGTGCGAGGGTCGTGCTGGCATTTCTCACGCCTACAGCCAACTGAAGCAGCACGCAGCGCCAAGGCCTGCCGCCAGTGCGTCCGCGTTCTGCGCAGCGCGTTCACTCCGGTGGCGGTGAACCGACTGTGTTCCAGCGTTGCAATCACTTTGCAACGGCAGCGTCAGTGCGCGGCCGAGGTAAGACGGACGAGTTCGCCTCAAACAGTTCGCACTCCTCCACCTCCTTGTCCTCCTCCTCCTACCCCTGCCCCATAGAGAAGCCAGCGGCACTTCCGATATCCCCCTTCGAGATCCTGGGAAATCTCGTTCGGGGCATCCTCCTCGCCGCTCCCCCTCGCTTTTTGCCCTTGCTCGCGCAACAGTTACACATCATGCGTGCTATTATCATATATCCCCTTATTGGGTGTGTGGAAGATATTCGCTCCTCTCCGCGTATTGTTTTTTGAACACTGGATTTCAACTTTGCGAGTGCCTCTTGTGTTTTGTCGCCACGATTGTCTTCGGTCCTTCACAATGCTTCTCCCGCTGGAGGCCTCGTTATAGGATCGGCGCGCTGCTCTCGTCGTTCCGAATGGCGCGCGCACCTCATCGCGGGCCGCTGTTATGGACCCGAGTCCTTCCTCGTCGGTGTCATCCTCCTCCCTCCCCCCCCCACCGCCTTCCCCTGGTCTTCCTGCTGCGCCCGCTCCTTCCGCTCCGATTGCATGTGCTGTTTTCCGTTCGCGACTTCCTGCTCCTTCCTTATCCCGTCCTTGTTCTCTTGCTCATCTTTCTGGTCATCAGCCACCTCCTTCTCCTTCTCCTCCTCCTCTTCCTCCTCATCGTCCTCCTCCTCCTCCTCCTCCTCCTCCTCAGCTACCCCTGTTTGGATAGCACATGACACGACGGGGTCCGTTTTAGAGCTCCAGCTCCGCCGTGGCACGCGTCTGCAGACAGAGAACACACCAGCGTAAAAGGGCAAGGGATGGGTGAGAGAGAGAGTTCGAATTTTCAAGTGTGGCGCGAGCGCGCCCAGCTTGTCCTCGCCCCCCCGCTCCACCCCGGGCTCCCCTGGTCAAGCCCGACCCCCACGAGCGCCCCGAGCTTGCACAGGGGAGTGGCGGAGAAGCGAGGAGGAGAAACGAGGAGGTTTGAGGAGGAGAAGGAGGAATACCTTCTGCCCTCCCTGGTTCATCCTCACTCTTCCTCTCTCTCTCTCTCTCTTTCTCTCCTTCGCTATTCCTCTCCCCCTGGCGCCTGGCTCTCATGGACCCCAGAGGGCGGACAAATGACCAGAAGCACCCAATAATATCGATCCTCGATCAGGGCACCGCTTTCACCTGGCCGATTGGTTGGTTTATGAGGTTGGCTCGTTGGCTTCCCGTTTGCATTTCCGCGATCGCCATCTACATGTGACACGTCATGCTCCCTGTTTCCAAACTGATGAACATCGGTCCTTCCTCCTCGTACTCCTCCTCCTCCTCCTCCTTCTCCTCCTCCTCCTCCTCCTCCGTGCTTCTCTTCCTCTTGCTGTCAGCCCAGTCTCCTCATCCTCCGCCTCCTCCACATGGGGCGCTCCAGAAATGGCCTCGCCTTCGAGGATCGAAGGGACTGGCATCTGCTCCTCAGTGGAGGCTGGTGGCAGGCCCGCGGACGGCGGCGGCGGCGGCGGCGGTCCCGTTGGCGGGATGCGGCCAGAGTAAAAGCTGCCCTCTCAAGCCAGGGGTTTGGGACCCCGACACATCCTCCTCCGCTTCCTCCTCTCCTCCTCCCCCTTCTCTCTCTCTCTCCCCCCCACACACCCATGTCCTCCTCCTCCTCGGTCCCTTTCGTCCAGCCCCGTCCCGTGCGCGTTGCGATCGGGGACGCCGCCATCTTCAGGGAGCTCGTCGGGGAGCAGCAGGGCGGCTCGCTTGTCCCAGCGGCACTGATCGGGCAGGACCTGCCTGTTCCTCCTTCCTTCCCTCATCCTGCTCTTTCCTCCTCCTCCTTTTTCTTCTCCTCCTCCTCCTCCTCATCCCCCTCCTCATCATCCTCCTCATCTTCCTCCCCCTCCTCCTTTTCCTCGTTCTTCTCCTCCTACTATGCCTCCTCCTCCTCCTCCTCCCCCTCTCTACTCCTCCTCCTCTCTCCCCCCTCCCCGACCCCCATCATATTGTAGGTTTGTGTGTATGTATGCATGCGTGCATGCATGTATATAGGTATGAATACATGCATGCATACAGTCATGTATGAATACACGTATGTTTGTTTGTATGTATGTATGTATGTATGTATGTATGCATGCATGCATGCATGCATGCATTCATGTATGTATGTATATATGTATGTATGTATGTATGTATGTATGTATGTATGTATGTATGTATGTATGTATGTATGTATGATTGTAGGCATGTAGTGCGTATGTGTGCATGCCTGTATGCATGCATGTAGGTGTTTATGCATTTATGTCTGCATGCATGTACGTGTGTATGGATGCATGCATGTATGTATGTGTGTCTGCATGTACGTACGTGAGTACGTATGTACGTATGTACGTGCGGACGTTTGTACGTATGTAAGTAAATATGGATGTGCATGAATGTATGTGTGTATGTGTGCATGTATGCATGCATGCATGTATGCAACCATGCTTGCATGTATGTATGCGTGCATGCATGAGTGTATGTATGCCATGTACGTATGGATGTGTGCATGTATTTACGTACGTATGTAGGTATGTACGTGTGTACGAATGTACGTGTGTACGTACGCCTATGCATACATGCATGCAGGTATGTATGTATGCATGCATGTATATATGTGTGTATATATGTTTGTATGTATGTATGTAGCACCCCGCAAATGCGGATACGAGTGAGGGGGCGGGCGCGGGCGACGCGGGCGTCGAGCCGGCGGACCGCCGCAGGCGCCGAATTTTTGGCTTGTTCAGTGAACGTAGTTTGGGTCGCGGGAGGGTCGCGGGCTCTCCACCTCCAATTGGAAAGAATTCAAAAAACAGCCCGCCGCAGGCGCCGAAACTTTTGATTTGTACACTGAACGCGGTTTGGGTCGCAGGTTCTCCACCTGGAACGGATGCAAAAGAAACCCGCCGCAGGCGCCCAAATTTTGGGCTTGTTCAGTGAACGTAGTCTGGGTCGCGGGTGGGTCGCGGGCTCTCCACCTCCACCTGGAAGGAATTCAAAAACAGCCCGCCGCAGGCGCCGAACATTTTGATTTGTACACTGAACGCGGTTTGGGTCACGGGTGGGTCGCAGGTTCTCCACCTGGAACGGATGCAAAAGAAACCCGCCGCAGGCGCCGAAAATTTTGGGTGGGTCGCGGGGTGGGTCGCGGGTGGGTCGCGGGTGGGTCGCGGTGGGTCGCGGGTGGGTCGCGGGCGTGGTTGGGTTCGCGGGTGGGTCGCGGGTTGGTCGCGGGGTGGGTCGCGGGGTGGGTCGCGGGTGGGTCGTGGGTGGGTCGCCGGTGGGACGACGGCAACAACAAACTACAAACAACAAACACAAACAAGAATCCGCATCGCGGAATTCCACTTCAGCCACGCACCCAGGGACAGTGAATGACCGTTTGGTTCAGCCCCCTTTACTCTGATGTATGTATGTATGTATGTATGTATGTATGTATGTATGTATGTATGCTTGTGGGCATGTAGTGCGTATGTATGTACGTAAGTATGTATGTATGTATGTATGTATGTATGTATGTAAGTATGTATGTATGTGTGTATGCATGTGTGTATGCATGTGTGTATGTATGTATGTATGTATGTATGTATGTATGCATGCATGCATGCATGCATGCATGTATGTATGTATGTATGTATGTATGTATGTATGTATGCATGTATGTATGTATATATGTATGTGTGTATGGATGCTTTATGTATGTATGCATGTATGTATGCATGCATGCATGCATGCATGCATGTGTGCATGTATGCATGCATGCATGTATGCATGCACGCATGCATGCATGTATGCATGTATGCATGTATGTATGTATGTATGTATGCCTGCATGCATGTATGCATGTATGCATGTATGCATGTATGCATGCATGCATGCGTGTATGCATGTATGCATGCATGTATGTATGTAGGTATGCAGGCATGCATGTATGCATGCATGCATGCATGCATGCATGCATGCATGCATGTATGTATGTATGGATGTATGTATGTATGTATGTATGTATGTATGTATGTATGTATGTATGTATGTATGTATGTATGTACGTAGATATGTATGTACGTGCGTACGTACGCACGTATGTATGTTTTATGTGTGTCCTCCTCGTCCCACCCCATCTTTTCCTCCTCCCTCCTCCATCTTCCTTCCCTCCTCTCGTTCCCCCCCCTTCCCCCTTTGGCGGAGAATGCCCTGGAGGAGGTGGGGGATCCCCCCCCGCGGGCGTGGCCCCGGCGGGGCGGGCCGGAGCGGCGGAGACTACGGCGTCCCAGAGTGCGGCGTCCCATTGCGGTGTTGCATACTTTCTTTGGGAGATCTGTGTCCCCCAAGACGCATGTTCACAATCGAATGTCTGGAGTGTCATGGCCGAGTCATATCGTGGTTGCTTCGCCTCGGCGCAGAACCGCTTTGAGGCAACAGCGAGGCTGGGGCAGAACTCACCATTGCAGGGCACTGGGGCGTCATAGTTCGCACTTTTGAGGGGTGTTGAGGCTACCATCGGATCGAATATCTCATCGCCAACGCGGTGTTTTGTATATCGTATATGTTTGTTGCAGCATGTTGCAAGCGAGTTTTTTTTTGGGGGTAGACGTAGCTCATCAGTTGCAACCAGCTTCAAGATTCTAAAAGAGGCTGGGGCAAAGGCGAGAGATATCGAGCGTTTGTCCGCGGCCGTTTGTACTCAAGCGGCCAGCCGTCAAGATATGACTGCGCCTCATCGCGAGGCACACCATTCGCCATCGAGACCGACAACATCTTCGCTTGACATGGCTCGTCGCCCCCGCGACTCACTCCTAACGGTACAACGGAGTTGGATATGGGCTTCGCCTTAGGCGAAGCTGCTGGTTGGGCCTCCCAACCCCCTTTCAAACTTGGTAGCGGAGCTGGCCTATGGTGGTCAGCTTTTGCTCTATTCCTCCCCATCCACGGCGCTATCTGGTGGACTACTGACATGGCAGAACATCAGGGTGCAGTGGGTCTGCGCGGAGGAGTGTACATAGCTACGCACAGCCGCAAGGACACTTGCAGTGATACCTCCGTTCTCGCGGAGGCCTCTTACATGAGTCCGACTTCCCTGCGCTACTACATTCCTGAAGTCCACCCTCCTACTCCAGGAACTTTTTCGAAGATGCCATGCATGGTAGCTGGTGACTGATGACCCGCTGCCAGTTCGGCGCAGCGCCCCACCTGCTCGAATCTCCGGGGACCTTTTCGGCACCTCATGTCTACGGCAGGTGCCAATTGAAGTGCACGTGCGATTGCGTCTTCATTGGCCCCCGCCCCCTGGCAAAATACGTACAAGTACACAAAGCCGCGTGGCCACATCACTTTGAGTGTAGCGTGGGCGATGGCGACGGCCGTATGTCCTGATTGCTGGCTGGAGTTGTTTTCGGCACTGAGGTTTAAAATGACGTTGTCACAGCCCGGGCCATGCAGATGGCCGAGATGATGAGAACCAGCTTCCCCCTGGAATCATTGAGCCGCGCTGCGCGATCAATTCGGTCTCGGGTGCCTTTCTTCAGCGCTGCGCTTAAACACGACGGTTTGAGTGAGAAGGCTTGGGTTTTAACATGCGTTTTTGATTTACAGTACCTGCGTAATCAATTCACCAGATTTTTTGGATTGCTGCTGCGTTCTTGCCAGAGCTCCAGTCTTGCACACAGCGCTGTTGCCCATAGCAGGCCATGGTTTTTAATTCAACCTCCTGCCGCACTGCCGAGTGACGTGCGCCCGTCCTTTCCTCCCCAGTCAGCGCTCTTCACAGCGTTGTTCCATAAGCACTGCGGCTCAAACATGAGAATTGTGGAACAGCAGCATCCTCCTAATCGAACATAGTTTGCCATAGAGCGAGTTTGTTCCTCTCCCCCCTCCTGATATGGAGGGCGATCTGGGAGGAGAGGAGAATCAAGAGGCTTTGGTGGCGAGATGATGAGGGAGAGGAGGACCCTGAGGATGGGGAGGTCGGGGAGGAAGAGGAGGGATCAGAGGGAGAAGGAAGAGCAGGAGGAGGCGGAGGAGAACGAGGAGGACGAGGACGTCGCCGTCGCCGGTGTCACCACCAGAAGTGGTCAGGTGTCTTACCGCGCCAGATCTTGATCCCTGGAAGCCTTCGGAGGCCTCTGGAGGCTCGACTACACTTGTGAACACACAAGGGAGATGCCGAGTACAAACAACCCCCCTTGCTCCTCGAGGTCGGGGGGCATAAAGCATAGCAAACGAAGGACATCATTTCGAAGCATCGCCGCCTGCTCACCGTTGTTGCCGTCGTCGCCGTGATCTCCGACATTGATTTCGTACGCCGCCGCCTCTCACGCCAGCGGAGGTGGTAACTTTTACTTCCGCCCCTCAGATGGCAACACCCTTGCCATCAGCCTCCCCCTCCACTCCCGATGGTCGGGGGCCAAATTTGCCAACCAGAGGACATCCTCTCACAGCAGCGCTACCTGCTCGCGTCCGCCGAGCCAGCCATCTACATGTCCGCAGACGAGGACGCCCTGTGGAACGGGTCGCTGGAGCTCGTCGGCACCGGGGACTGCCTCGACGGCAGCTTTGCCGTCGCCGCTGCTGCCGCCTCCGCGGTCGCCGCCGTTGCTGCCTCCCTCCGCTGTCGTCGCCGTCGTCATCGCTTCCTGCAGCCGCCGCCGTCGTCGGCGTCGCCGTCGTGATCGCCGTCGCCATGATCGCCATCGTCCTTGTCGTTCGTCCTCTTCGTTCGTCCTCGTCGTCATCCTCGTCGTCCTCGTCGTCATCCTCGTCGTCGTCCTCGTCGTCCTCGCGGTCGTCTTCCTCGACGGCGACGTCGCCGCGTGCCGCCGCCGCAGTCGTCGTCGTCGCCGCCGTGATTGCCGTCACTGTCGTTCTCGTCGTCGTCGCCGTCGTTCTCGGTTTCCTCATTATGTTTTTGGTTGTTTGAGAGGGTGAGTCGTGGATTTCTGTTTTGGTGGATCGAGTTATTTGCGGAAGGAGCTTGGATGTTTTCACAGGGTTCTCGTCCGTGCTCTCGCTTGCCCCTCCCCTCATTTTGCTCCCCCCCGCTGGAGTGGTCGGCGTTCGGTTATCGGACGGGCACAGAAGCCAACAGCTGTTCCTCCCCTTCACCCACCCTCCCTGCAGCCTCATCATCCACCTCCTCATCTCCATCCTCCTCTCGCTCATTCCCACCTTGTACTTTTCTCCTTTCCCGTCTCGATCACCCTCCGCCTCCCTCCTTTCCTCCCTTCCCCCCTCTCTCCCCTGGTTTCCCTCCTACTCCCTCTCTCTGCTCTCTCTCTCTCTATTTTGGTGTGTGTCTCTTTTTTTTTCTCTCTCTCTCTCTCTCTCTCTCTCTCTCTCTTTCGCTCCATAATATACAAACGTGTGTTTATACATGTATATGTATATGTCTGTGTACATATATATATATACATATATGGATATCCCTCTCTCTCTCGCCCTTTTTTTTTTTCTCTCTCTCTCTCTCTCTCTTCCGTACTCTCTGAATATATTTGTTCCTCTCTCTCTCTCTCCCTCTCTCTCCTTCCCCTCCATATATGCAATGTCTGCGTGCACGTACTAAATAGGTGTATCTGTATATACACACCCCTCTCTCTTTGTCTCTTCCTTCACACTTCGCCCCGTCTCTTTTGTGTATATGTATATGGGCACATGTTGCCCAAGCAGTACTTGCACTTACAGTTTCTTGTTTATGGTCTAGATGACTTGGGCCTGACTTTGGGTCCGGTGGCTATGTAGCCGGCGTCGCCGCCCCGTCGCCGCCTCGTCGTTGCCCGTCATTTGGGCCTAGTTGTTGGTTCGGCGGTCGCCGCCCCCTCGCATCGTCGCCGCCCGTCGTCTGGGCCTTGCTGGCGGTTTGGCGGCTATGTCGTCGCCGTCGCCGCGGCCGCCGCCTCGTCGCCGAACGTCGTCTGGGCCTGGCTGCCGGTCTGGCAGCTCCGTGCTCGCCGTCGCCGCCGCGCCGCCGCCTACATTGCACCACGCCACGTGTATCGCACAGCGTAGATGGTACAATCTAGATCCTCCTGTCCTCAAAGGTACGAGGATCGACCATCCTCCCCCCCAGTTTAATCCCTCCGTTTTGGGGATGTGCAATTTACATGCGATTTTGCCCCACCGTTCATTACAGTATGATTTCATGCCACACCAACGATCCTCGTCAAACACTTCATGCGCACGCGCTCGTTCATCCAGAAGCAGCAGTCTTCAAGATCCCCTTCCGAACAAAACAAAAAACCTGCAGCCCCGACGCCTGGACACCATCATCGTCATCGGCGTGATCAGCATCGGCACCATCATTGGTCGCGCCGTCGTCCTTGTCACCATCGTCACCAGCACTGCTACTATCTTCATTTTGTCTGCCGTTGTGGACGTCGCCATGGCGCCGCGCCCGCCCTTGCCACCGACTCCATTGAATAGCCCGCGAGTCAGCGCGGCCTGCGAGACGCGCTTGCAAGTCCCCAGCGATCAGCGCCACCGCGGCTGCGTCGGTCGCGCCAGACTAGCTGGCCGTTTTGCGCGCCAGCCTGCGCGACCTAGCGCAGCCGTAGCGGTGCGCCACAGTCCTCGCAAACGCCGCCGCATACGTTTTGCAAACCAAGTAGCGAGTGGGTGGGCGAGATATTCGTGCGCGAGCAGTGAAGTTGACATCTTCGAGTTCGGCAGGGTGAATTGCATCAGTTGATTCTCCTTTCTAAAACACCAATAGATTCTACCCCCCCCCCCGGACTTATCGCCTCCCCCGCGCGTGCTGTAAATTACATACGATTTTGACCACATGTCCATCCTAAATATGAATTCATACCATCCCAGCCAAGCCGGTATCCCCCCCTGCGGTTCCCTGTCAAATAACACTATGCGGTGACATGTTGTGTTCTAACATATCACTTTTTCGCGAATCCCTTGCAACAAATAGGACGAAGTGCACACGCGCGCGTCGTGGCGCGCGCATGCCGAAATCCTTCAAAAACCTTCGGTTCCGGAGAGATTTCACAAGTGAATTCCCAAAAAACATATAAAAACACATGGTTTCGCAACACTGATTTAAAACAAAAAACAAAAAACTTACGCGCGAGCTCTTGCGAAATCTTAAGAAAACCATAGGTTTTCCAAGATTTTCACAAAATGCTACCAAACGGGCTTCGCGCGCGCATGTCGAAATCTGTCGAACGCTCTTGCGCGTGTGCCGTCGCGAGAATCCTCTGCAAAAAACGGGACGAAGTGCAGACGCGCGCGTCGTCGCGGGCGTATGCCGAAATCCTTCAAAAACCTTCGGTTTCGGAAGAATGTCGAAATCGTGCGTCCAAAAAACCTACAAAAACACAAGGTTTCGCAACACGGGTTTTCAACAAAATTGTGCGCGCGCGCTCTTGCGTCGTCGTCGTCGTCGTCGTCCTCCCTCCTCCTCGTCGTCGTCGTCGTCGTCGTCGCCGTCGTCGTCTTCTGTCTTTCCTCGTCGTCTTTGGCGTCGTCGTCGTTTCCGTCGTCGTTGTCGCCGTGGTCGTCCTTCCTCCCTCGTTGTCTTCGTCGGCGTCTCGTCGTTGTCCCTCCTATTTCGTCGCCGTCGTCGTCGTCGTCGTCGTCGTCGTGGTCTTCACTCCTCCCTCGTCGTTATCCTCCTCCCTCGTCGTCGTCGTCGTCCGTCGTCGGCGTCTCGTCGTCGTCCCTCCTATTTCGTCGCCGTCGTCGTCGTCTTCGTCGTCGTTGTCATCGTCGTCGTCTTCCCTCCTTCCTCGTCGTTGTCGTCGTCGGCGTTTCCGTCCTTCCTCCTTCTTCGTCGTTGGCGTCGTCGCCGTCTTCCCTCCTCCATCGTCGTTGTCGTCGTTGTCGCCGTCGTCGTTTTTTCTCCTCCCTCGTCGTCGTCTCCGTTGGCGACGTCGTCGTCGTCTTCGTCGTCGTCGTCGGCGTCGTTGTCGTCGTCGTCGGTGTCGTCGTCGTCGTTGTCGTCGTCGAAAACATTGGAGACGTCGTCGGTGTCGTCGCAGTCGCTGTCGGCGGCGCCGTCGTCGTCGATGTCGCTGTCGTCGTCGGCATCGGTGTCGTGGCCAAGTGCCACGCAGTACCTACCGTCACGGTCTTGTCTGAAGATGTCTTGCGTCCAAGTTGCGGGTGGGAGGGTGGGATGTTTGCACGAGCAGTGGAGAGGACAGCTTCAAGACAGTCGAAGTGGAATGCACTACGTAGATTTCAGCATACAGGCTGCATATCATGGATTCTTCTTTCTTCAAAGGAATGAGGATATACCCCCCCCGCCAGATTCATCGCCCCCGCTGGGGATTTCCAAGTTACAAACGATTCTGCCCCATCGCTAATTCGAAATATGAATTAACTCCATCCCACTCAGGCTGGATTCGACACCATCCCGTAATACTATGCGCGCGCATCCGTGCATCACAAATCATATGTTTTCAAGAACCCTTTGCTAAGTATGTGACGATGTCCACACACGCACGCCGTCGTGCGCGCATGCCGGAACCTCGGGGAAGAAAAACAAACACACACAAACAATTTTCGACGTCGTAAGGAGCCCCGAAATCATTTAAGCATCACATGACGTTGCAAGAAGTTGCGCGTGCGCTCTAGATGGCAAGATAAGTACATGCGTTTTACTTTTTTTGTGTTTTATCAAGTGCGACCAATCGGGCATGTCGCGGGCGCATGTCGAAATCATCCGATCGCCCTTGCCCGCGTGGTGTGGGGGCACGATCCGTGTCAAAAAACAATGCGGGCCCTCGCGCTTGTCGGCCGCGTGCGCATGTCGAAATCTTTCCGAAACCTTCGCCGCAGACACGTGGACACCGTCATCGTCATTGGCGTCATCCGCATCGGCGCCGTCATTGGCCTTGCCGTCGTCATCGTCATCCTCGTCCGTGACGTCGCTATTATCATGAACGTGCGTGCCGTTGTCGACGTCGCCATGATGCCGCGCCTGCCCGAGTCACGCACCGACTCGCACTGCAGTGCCCGCGAATCAATCCGGTCTGCAAAACGTGCACACACGCCCCCATCGGTCAGCGCCGCCGCGGCTGCGTCGGTCGCGACAAACTGGCGGGCCGCTCTGCGCGCGAGCTTGCGCGGCCGCAGCGATGCGCCAGCGAGTGCCAAGCAGTCATCGCAGTTGCCGCCGCATGGGTTTTGCAAACCATGTTGCGGCTGGTTGGGTGGGGCGACGCGAGCAATTGGGCCGACAACTGCAAGCTTAGCAGGGTGAATTGCACCACGTAGAATGGTGCAGCACGTAGATTGCACGGCATATATTGCAAAACGTAGATTTCATCACAGTGAGTTCTCAACATAGGTTGCACCACGTAGATTGCACGACGTAGGGTGCTCCACATAGATTGCACAACGTAGACAGCACAACGTATATTCTCCTTTCTAAAAACAGAATAGGATCTACCCCCCCCCCCATGCGTTATCGGTACCCCTTTCGGGTATGTAAATCATCGATGATTCTGACCACACGTCCATCCAAAATATGAATTTCTATTATCCCAGGCTGGCCGGTATCCCCCCCCCTGAGGTCCCCTTGTAAAAAAAAACACAATGCGGTGACATTTGTTGTTCTAACATCGCACTTTTTCGCGAATCTTCCTGCAAACAATGAGACGAAGTGCGCACGCGCGCGTCGTCGCGCGCGCATGCTGGAATCCTTCAAAAACCTTCGGTGTCGGAAGGATTTCGCAACCGAGTTTCCAAAAAGCATACAAAAACACAGGGCTTCGCAACACTGACTTGCTAAAAAAGCTTCCGCGCGAACTCTTGCGAAATCTTCAGAAAACCATCATATGTTCAAGATTTTCACAAAATGCTATTCAACGGGCTTCGCGCGCGCGCATGTCGAAATCTGTCGGACGCCCTTGCGCGTGTGCCGTCGCGAGAATCTTCTGCAAAAAATGGGACGAAGTGCAGACGCGCGCGTCGTCGCGGGCGCATGCCGAAAACATTCAAAACCCATCGGGTTCGGAAGGATTTCAAAATCGTGTGTCGAAAAAACCTATAAAAAACCCAAGGTTCCGCAACACGGATTTTCAACAAAAGCGTGCGCGCGCGCTCTTGCGTCGTCGTCGTCGTCTTCGTCGTCGTCGTCGCCGTCCTCACTCCTCCCGCGTCGTCGTCGTCGTCGTCGCCTACGGCGTCCTCTGTCTTTCCTCGTGTTCGTCGTCGTCGTCCCTTTTGGCGTCGTGGTTTTTCCGTCGTCGTTGTCGCCGTGGTCGTCCTTCCTCCTCCTCCCTCGTCGTCGTCGTCGTCCGTCGTCGGCGTCTCGTCGTCGTCCCTGCTATTTCGTCGCCGTCGTCGTCGTCGTCGTCGTCGTTGTCGTCGTCGTCTTCCCTCCTTCTTCGTCGTTGTCGTCGTCGGCGCCGCCGTTCTTCCTCCTTCTTCGTCGTTCGCGTCGTCGCCGTCCTCCCCCCTCTCTCGTCGTTGTCGTCGTTGTCGTCGTTGTCGCCGTCGTCGTCCTTCCTCCTCCCTCGTCGTCGCCTTCATTGTCGTCGTCGTCGTCTTCGTCGTCGTCGGCGTCGGCGACGTTGTCGTCGTCGAAGTCGTCGGAGACGTCGTCGGTGTCGTCGTAGTCGTTGTCGTCGGTGTCGTCGCAGTCGATCTTAAGAGGTTTTGCAAACCAAGTTGCGGGTGGGTGGGTGGGATGTTTGCGCGAGCAGTTGAGATGACGACTTCAAGTTCAGCAGAGTGGATTGCACCACATATACTGCATCACGGAGGCTGTACGAAATAGATTGCATCACGCAGATCGCACAATATACATTGTATCACACAGGTCGCACGACGTAGATTGCACAACGCGAGTTGCACAGCCTTGATTGTACCACGTAGAATGCATGCACCACACAGCTTGTGCCACAGCTCATGGTCGACGTCAATTGCGCCACATACCTTGTCCAACGTAGATTGCTAGAACCGTACAGTTTTGGGCTCATGTTGGCTACATTATGTACGCATGTTCCCACTTGTGTGTTTGCATATGCAAATGTATTCATAGTGTTCACATGCGTTTTTGATGTTCCCCTCCCTCTACATCCATCCGTTCCTCCATGTCTCTCTCCCTATATGTCTCTGTTTGTATATGCTCTCTCACTCTCTCTTTCTCTCCCTCTCTGTCCCTCTCTTGTTTCTTTTGTTCTCTCTCTGTCTCTCTATTTCTCTCTCGTTCTCTCTCGAGCCGAATTTGATTCGTGCGTGCTGTCCGCTTTCCAGATATCGATCGCTCTCTCCCTCGTTCTCGCTCTCTCTCGCTCTCTTTTGGTCCGCGTGTTTTGTTATATCTCTCTCTCTTTTTCTTTTTGTTTTCTCTCTCTCTTTCTCTCTTTCCTGCTCCCTCCGCGAATCCTTCCAAACCTTTCCTCGCCGACGCGTGGACGCCTTCATCGTCACTGGCGTGATCCGCATCGGCGCCGCCATTGGCTGAGCCGTCGTCTCTGTCACCATCGTTTCTAGCACCGCCACTATCACCACCGTGTCCGCCGATGTCGACGTCGCCACGGTAGCACGCCCGCCCGAATCCGAAGTGCCTGCGTGCTGGCGCGGCTTGGGAGACGCGCTGGGGTCCCCTTCTCGGCCTCCTCCTGTTCCTCCTCCTCCTCCTCCTCCCTCCTTCCTCCTCCCTCCTTCTCCTCCCTCCTCCCTCCTCCCTCCTCCCTCCTCCCTCCTCCTCCTCCCTCCTCCTCCTCCTCCTGGCGCCATCGCGGCCGCGTCGCTCGGGCCAGAGTCTTTGGCCGCTCTGCGCGCGCTCGCGCGGCCGCAGCGACGTGCCAGCCATCGCCAAGCAGTCCTCGCAAGCGCCGCCGAGGGGGGCCTGGCAAGCCAAGTTGCAAGTTGCGGGTGGGTGGGCGGAGCGATCGTGCGCGAGCCGAGCTGTCATTTTCAGGTTCGGCAGAGAAAACTGCACCACATAGATTGCGCCACATGTGATGCGCAGCGTAGGTGGCACAGTACGTATTCCATTTCCTAAGAAGGAATGAGGATCTACCCCCCCCCCCCCCGCCCCCCCCCCAGTTTTATCCGCCCGCTTTGGGGATGTGCAAAGCGCGTACGTTCTGCCCCATCGTGCATTCTACATCTGAACTCTCTTCGTTCCAGCCAGGCCGGTACCGACCCTTCTCCTCCTCGTCAAACATCATTATGCACGCACGTGCGCTGATCAAAATCACTCGTTTTCAAGAACCCTTGGCAACAGGCGGGACGAAGTGCACACGCGCGCCGTCGTACGCGCATGCCGGACTCTTTCAAAAACTTTGGGCGTCGTAGGGTTTTCAAAGTCAGCTGTCCCGAAATTTGTAAAACAACCCAGTGATTTTGCAACACGATTGTTAACAAGTATGCACGCGATCTCTTGCAAATGCTTAAGTGAATCACCGGTTGTTCTTCACATTTTATCACATGCGGCCAGACGAGCCTCTCGCGCGCGCGTGCCGAAATCGCCCGAGGGGACACGATCCCTGCCAAAAAAACATGCGGGCCACTCGCGCCCGTCGGCCGCGCGCGCATGGCGAAATCCTTCCGAAAGTTTCATCACCGACGCGTGGACACCATTATCGCCCCGCGTGTGATCAGCATCGGCGCTGTCATTGGCGCTGCCGTCGTCATCGAAATCTTCGTCCCCAGCGTCGCTACTATTATCACCTTGCCTGCAGTTGTCGACGTTACCATGATACCGCGCCCGCCCGAGTCGCCGACTCGCACTGCAATGCCCGCGCGTCAGCGCGGCCTGCGAAACGCGCTAGGAGGTCCCCAGCGGTCAGCGCCACCGCGGCTGCGTCAGCCGCGCCAGACTAGCTCGCCGCTCTGCGCGCGAGCCTGCGCGCGCTCGCGCGGCCGCAGCGATGCTCCACCTGCGCCAACCAGTTACCACAATCGCCGCCACATGGGTTTTGCAAGCTAAGTTGCGGGCGGGTGGGTGGGATGATTGCACGAGCAATGGCGTTGTCAACTTCAAACACGGCAGGGTGATTTGCACAACGTAAAGGGCACCACGAATATTTACCACATGTATTGCACACCGCACACCATTGATTACATCACATCGACTGCACAACATGGGTTGCACCACGTACGTTGCGCCCCATAGACTGCACACCGTATTTTGCACCACCTAGATGTCATACCGTAGATTGCACAACCTAGATAGTACAATATCGTCTGCACCGGTTAGATTGCACCACGCAGTTTGTACCACATCAGTTGTTCAACGGATCTTGCACCCCATATATTGCTAGAGACTCTGTGTTGGGCCCACGTTGGCTAACATCGGTATGCAAGTGTCCCGCATCTGTCCCCTCAGGTATACGTACTGCATACGCTATAACTATATGTATATATCCTCCTCCGTACTTCCCATCCATCCATCTATCCCTTTTCTCCCTCTCTTTCGATTGTAATTTGATTCGTGCGTGTTGTCCGCTTCCCCGATCTCTATATGCCTCTCTCTCTCTCTCGCTCTTTCTCTTTCTCTCTTATATGAATATATATATGCTCCCCTTTCTCTATATGTGTATCGAGAACTATTCCCGTTCTTCCTCCTCTCCCTCCATTCATCCACCCGATCTTTCATTATTTGTGCATCTTCTCCATCGGCGATTCGCCTTCGTGTTTTCCCATCCTCCTTTCATCCTCCGTCCTCTCTCCTTTCACCCTCCTTTCATATGATTCCTCATCCTTCCCGCTGCCCTACTGTCCCCTCCTCCCTCTCAGTATCTTTCGCGTCATCCCTTTTCTGTTCGTCCATTATTTCTCTTATTCTGTCATCCGTTCGTCCCTCATCCTACTAGTACCCTGCCTCCGTCCTCCCTGCTCCGTTCATCCATCCGTCCCTCCCTTTTCCGTTCCACCCTCGACCCCGCTTTCTGTTTGCTGCCTTTCAGTCATTCCTCCCTCCTCCCTCCTCTCCCCTCCCTCGCTGCCCTCCTCCCCCGCCCCCCTTCTCGTTCTTTTGCCCTCCCTCCCTCCCTCCTCTATCTGTTCCCCCCTCCCCCGTCCCCTCTCTCTGCTCGTGCTGTTGGTCCTCCTCCTCGGTAGTGGCCGCCGCCTCCGCGGCCTGCAGAAGCTGGGCTGCTCTCCGGACGAGGCGGCCCAGGTGTGCCTCTCCATGCCCCCGGGCGTGTGCCAGGGCGTCGCCGTGACGCCGAAGGGACGCTTCCAGGGCCTCTGCTACGTCCACGTCGGCACGGAGGACTGGGCCCTTTTCGGCCCGAGCGGTCCGATCCGATGTCGATGCGGCCCTGCTCGATTCGATTCGGTGTTCGATTTTCCGACGGCCTTGTGTGCCCAGAGGCTCACACGTCGTACGCCGTGTGCCATGGCGTAGAGGGCTCGATTCGATTTCGTCCCCGTGCCGATACGGCCCGAGCGCTCCGCTCCGATCCGACTTGGCGACTCGATGTTGACCTAGAGCTCCGACCTCATGTTTTGTTCAATCGGCGGGTCTTCAGATATCCCGATACCAGCAGTCGTATGGTCCTCGCGCTGTTTTGTGTTGCGGACCCAGTAGCCCGAAACGGGCCCAGGGTGGCCCTAGCTCAGAAAAGTAGGTCCTCATGATGTCCCAGGGCGCCAGAAGCCTGGACCAACGTCGACCTCCAGACCTGCCGTGATCCAAACGAGACGACGAGGTCCTCCTCATGAGGCCCCAAAAAGATTGTCACCGACAACCATGTCATAATCAATGCCCCTCCTCTTCCTCCTCCTCCACCCCTTGTCCTTCTCAATAACTCCTACCTGTCGCACCCCCAGACCTGTCCATAGAGCGGACCTGGCGTTTCGCGTGAGATCTCTTCATTAGTTATGACCCTGAAGTTTGAAAATTCTGCAGGTTCACGAATAGACGGCGGGTGATGTTCAAAATGCGGTTCTCGCTTTAGCGCCGCGCACAGTCATTTCAAAAGTTCGCAACAGTTTCACGGATGCAGGCAGGGTCGTTTTCAAAATGTGGTTCTCTTATGGCCGCGCACATTGGTTGTAAAAGTTTGTTGCAGCGTCCCGGATGGAGGGCGAGTGGTTCGCAGAACGCGGTTCTTGCTTTAGCCCCGCGCATGTTCGTCTTAAAAGTTTGCAGCAGATTCACGGATTGGAGGCTGGTGGTTTTCATAATGTGGTTCTCGCCTCAGCGCTGCGCACATCGGTATGGAACGTTCCCAGGCGTGTCAAGAGTTTGTATAGTTGAAGTTAGCGTCCTGGCACGATTTAGGAGTGTCAGAATGCAACAATCGGGTTGATTTGCGGTGCCGATGCCCCAGGAATGGTGCTCTGTCACAGTCTAGGACCGTCAGGAAGCAACAGTCACCTTGATCCGCGTCGCTGAAGTCCCACGAATGATAGTTCGACGCTATTGAGGATTACCAGGCTCAAATCTTCCAATGGGCCACTTCCTCTTTCCGAAATGAGAGTGGATTCTTTTAGGGACCGACAGAGAGGGATCTTGGAGGGAGGGTTTATTGCATCAGCGTGGATGCGTCTTGGGTTTGCACTGGTCCTTCGCATCCTCGTTATTCCACGCCGCAGCCTTTTCATTTTGAGGCGCTTTCTAACGGTCCCTATACCAGCCTCCGCAGCCAGAGTGGGGAACAACTGGCCGTCCTGATTTTAACGAGCCGCCGCCAGATGTCCCGGCCCACGCCGCCGCCGCCACCGCCGTCGCCGCCGCCGCCGACGACGACGACGAGGACGACAACGACGACGACGACGAAGACACCGAGGTCTCTGGAGTTTTCTGGAGGTCCCAGGAGGGCCCACGGAGGCCCCTGGAAGCTCCCAGAGTTCTTCGGCATCCCAGACTGCCAAGGTGATCCGGATGTCCCCAGAAAGTGCGGGTTTGCCAACTGATGGAAGGGGATTCCGCGATGGAGCAATTGGCCACGGAGGAAAAGACCCTTCGGAGGCCCGTCGAGTGCCTTCGAAGGCCTTTGATGCAGCAGCTGGCCTCCAGCACGGAGGTCTCCGGAGGACCTTCGAGGGCCTCCGATGACCTCTTCCTTGATAAATCTTGTTCTTCTCCTCCTCGTCCTCATCCTCCTCCCCCTCCTCATCCCCCTCCTCCTTCCTCTCCTCATCCCCATCCTCCTCCGCTTCCTCCTCCTCCTCCTCTTCTCCCCCTCTTTCTCCGCCTCCTCTTCCTCCTCTTCCTCCTCCTCCTTATCGTTGTCCTCCTCCTCCTCCTCCTCCTCTTTCTCCTCCTCATCCGTCTCCGAGTGGAGGACGGAGTGGCCGACCTCGCCGAGCGGGGCTGGCGGAGGTACGATGCCCCAGAGGGCCAAGAGCTCGCGCCCGCGGGCGCCGCCGTCGCCTCGACCACAGGCGAGCGCGAGCCCGACGACGCGAGGTGCTACGCCTTGCGGGCGGCGTGAGGACGTCGGGCAGTGCCAATGCTCGGAGGAGGAAAATGTACCCATACCGCTACCATTCCATCGTTTTCCCCGTTTTGTGGCTCCTTGGAGGCCCTCGTCGCCACCGCTGGATTCGCCGCGAAATCCTGGTCAGAACGCACCCTGGGCCCTAGGAGTGGTCTGGGGAGTAACGATATGGGCACGTTTGGGTTCCCCCAAATGCGAGGCACGGTCGGGAAGTTTTGCGTAGCGTGTCGCGCCGCCTGCTCTGGCCCACCGCGCTTCGGCGCGACCAGCTATCCACGTCCCCGTGCCCAAGCGTCAGAGTGCCGAGCCTTTCCCAGCCTGCCGCCCCGCGGAGCGGAGCGACACGCTGTCCGCTCGCAGGGCAGCATCTCGCCGAGGCCGCCGCGGCGGCACGCGAAGCAAGCGTTCCCGACCGCACCACTGGGGCGGTCACCAGCTCCGCCTGGAAGTCGAGGCTCCTGGATCGAAGCCCGAGGAGGTTTGGGGACGTCCGGGGTGGCTTGGGAGGGCCTCTGTGTGTAGGCCCACCTCCTCGAGGAAGTGGCGCGTCCTCGAGGAAGTGGCGACCCCCCTGGTGGTGGCCCCCCTTGGCATTGCCCCCTTGGCATGGCGCCCTTGGTGCGGCTCCCTTGTCGCAACGTCGGGCCGGCGTCGGATCTCAGGGTTCTTTGACCCTGGAGGACGGAACGGCTTGCATTGGTCGAGCGGGCTTGGTGAAGGTGTGAGAGGACTCGGGTCCAGGCCGCCCCGACGGGGTCGGTGGATCGTTGGATCGCGACGCATCGACGACGCATCGGCGCTGCGGCTTGATGCGGAGCCCGATGTTTGATGCACGCCGACGGCGGTGCATCGCCGATGCATCGCAGATGTCGCACCGATGCACCGCCGATGCACCGGCGATGTATCGGCGACGCGGCGCAATCCTGCAAACCCATCTGCTCGCACCCCGCTTTGGAGGCCTCCAGAGGACTCGGAGGGCCAGGAGGTCGTGCCAGTGGGCGCCGCCGTCGCCTTCACCATCGAGCGCGAGCGCGACGAGGTCAAGCTGCTGCGCCAGAAAGGGGAGACGGCTGCGCGACAACGGGGGCAACGCAACTGCGCGAGCACGACTATGCGACCACGGGGAGAGGCAAGCATCGCACCGTACAACTCGATGACAATCGCGCGGCCAGCGCAGAGAGGGTGAACACCGAAGTAGGCAAGGCCGAGCTTCTGACATAGGAGGAGGTGGGTTCCATCGATGACCCACCCTTGACAACAGGACTCCGCGCGCAGATGCACGGCCGGAAGCTGGCGACGGCTTCTAGTGGTTTGTATCTCTCTTGCGAACTATCTTCATGTTGAGTAGCACGGTTTGGATGCCGCAGGTTTAAAAGAGCATGGACAAGTTAGTTGTGTGGTTTTCTTGGTAGGGAGTATTGGCATCTTGTTTGGTGGTTGCGGTATTACATCTCTCTCCTGGGCGGGGTGCTTGCGGACCGTGTGTCCACTGACCTCGGTCAGGATGGTCACAGGGCACAGGTCACGCGCGTGTCTGCAGATCGTGTTGTCGGATTTGTTTCACCACGTTGTCGGTTGGACCGGTTCAAACAATCGAGCAATCGTCCATCCGATTATGCTTTGATTAACATATGGGCCAGGCAGAGCCCAAGAGTCAGACAGAGTTGACCATGTGACGGGACCAGGGGTCGCGATCGGATTCGTGTTCGGCTCGGGCGGAACAGCCGTGTGCCCCCAGGAGGGTGCTGGATAGGCTTCTCCATCCAGTGACAGGGCCCTCCTGGCATCTTTCTTCCTCGGCTCCCCAGACAATCCCACCCCATCCCCATCCTCGTCACCTTAGCGCCCCTCCTCCCTCCTCCTTCCTCCCGCTCCTTCCTCATGCCCTCCTCCCTCCTTCCCCCTCTCCTTCCTCCTGCTCCGCCGCCACCTCCTGGCGGAAGCTTGCCACAAGTGTTCTACATCGAAGAGAACTCTGACATTGGATGAACTGTTACGAAGAGTTCTTCCTCCCACCCTCCGCCCCTCTCCTGCACCTCCTCCCCTCTCTTCTCCTCCTCTCTTCTCCTCCCCCGCCCGCCCCTCCGCCCCACAAGGCAGAGGGGTACCGCGAGCTCCTGCGAACGCTGGGCAGGCCCCCTCCCGCGCCGTCGACGACGGACGCGGAGAGCGATGCGATGGCGCTGCTGGGTCTCCGGGCAACGCAGGCCTCCGCATCTCCCGCGGCTTGGGAGTGAGAGGGGGCGGGAGGGGGAGGCGCGGAAAATGGAGGGGGGAGGGGGAGGATGAAACGAGGAGTGAGAGGATGAGGTTGGGTGGGCCAGGATCTAGAGGCTGGGCAGGATGGTGGGGGCACGAGCAGGAAGGGGGGAGGAGCAGGAGGCTCAGCAGAGGCAGTTCAAAGCACCTGTAGAAGGATATCAATAGCAGCGCGAACAGGAGCAGGATGACTACGTACTGCGGACTGCCAGGAGCCATGGGGGGTGGCCAGGAGAAGGATTGGGAGTGGGAAAGACCAACGGAAGATGAGCAACAGCATGAGCGGAAATAGCAGCAGCATCGGTAACGGCGGAAGCGAGGTAAAGGGCACGCCGGTGATATGTCAGAGGAGAAGAAGGATTAGATATTAGAGGAGGAGGAGGAGGAAGGGGGAAGAGGGAGGGATGGGTGGGAGGGAGGAAAATAAGGATGAAGGAGAAGGTGAGGAATGACGAGGTGGAGGATTAACAGACGGGGGGGTGGAAGGAGGGGAAGTAGACAGATGATGCAGCGGAGTTGAGGGAGTAGGAGAAGAGGGAGGAGGAAAGGGTGGAAGGCAAAGGGTATCAACACCAGGCTCACTTCGGCGACGACGACGACGACGACGTCACATGTGACAACACGGGTGACGACGTTGACGACGACGAGAAGCGGCAGCGCGTGCTGGAGCAGTTGCAGAACAGCGGCCAGGAGGCGTAGGACCATTGCGGAAGCCCTCCCCTCCAAATCGACCCTTGGGCGTGCCTGAGGCGCGTTCCGACCAGGATCGCGGAGCGAACCCAGCCGCGGCGACGAGCCCCCTACCCCCCTGATGGGCCCACGAAGGCGACCAAGCGCCGCTAGCTTCCTTGCTCTTCCGCCCCCCCTCCTGGGTCTGAGTCTGGAGGCAGGGACGGCGGGGAGGGAGAAAACAGGAGGCCCCAGGAGGACTCCGAAAGGTCTCTCCTCAGGAGCTTTTTTGGAGACCTGCGGAGGCCTCTGCTTGGAGGCCCAGCAAGGGGCAGGCCCCCCCCCCCCCCAACAAAACAAGTCGAGGATCGATGCCAAGGCGTGGGAGGACAGCAGTGCGGATGGCTGCCCCCGCTCTTCCCCCTCCACCCCTCCTCCATCTTCTCTCCTCCTTCTCCCCCCCTTCCTGGTCCCCCCTCTCCTCCTCCTCCTCCTCCTCCTCCTCCTCCTCTTCCTCCTCCTCCTCCTCCTCCTCCTCCTCCTCCTCCTCCTCCTCCTCCTCCTTCTCCCCCTTCCCTCCTTCATTCTTCATCCCCCCATTCCTCCTCCCTCCTCCTCCTCCTCCTTCTCCTCCTCCTCCTCCCCCTCCTCCTCCTCCTCATCCTCCTCCCCTCCCCTCCTCCTCCTCCTCCTCCTCCTCCTCCTCCTCCTCTTCCTCCTCTTCCTCTTCTTTTCCCCTTCCTCCTCCTTCTGTCCCCCTTCTTCTTCGATCTTCCCTCCTTCTCCTTCGCCCGTCCTTCCTCCTCCCCCCATCCTCTTCCTCCTTCTCCTTCGTGGCCATCTTGGCTCTCGCCAGGTGCATGGCGCATTTGTCAGCCCTGAAAACGGATTGGCCTTGTTTTACGGGTTCCGTTTTGCCGTTTTGGTGTCGCTTCCGTCGCATTTGTTTCGCAATTCCGGATTTGGTTATAATCCTGGAGCCGTTTTTGCCGCTTCCCGTAGCGATTATCTTCCCGCTCCCATTCTCAAGAGACACTTTTCGGAAACGGTGAAAAAACGGCCCTGCCGCTTTCGGGGCCCACGAAGCCTGACGCCCATTGCCGCTGGGTCACTCGGCGGAGCGGGGCATGGCCATGGTGTTGGTTGCAGGGGGGCGCCTTGCAGGGTGGCGGCCCATGCGCTCGCTGGCCACGGAGCTGAGCGGCGCGGCGACAGCGCAGCGAGGAGCCCATCGCAGGGCTCAGATTGCCTGCGAAGCTGGTCTGCGACGAGCTCGAGCTCGAGTTGGGAGAGGCGCTGCCGGGCTCGTGACGTGGCCGCGAGCGGGCGGCCCGCCCTGCGCTGCGGCGGGCAGCCAGAGGACAGCGGGTGCCAGCGTGCCTGGCGTCGCCGAAACGCCGCTTGGCATGCGGCCCGCGTTGCTCCCCGAGGTTCCCTGCGTTGGCCTCGGACTTCAGCGGGCCGTCGCGGGGCCCCACCTGCGAGCTGGCCTCGAGATCAGCAGCGAGCAGGCCGAGGAGGCCGAGGAGTCCGCGGTGCCGCGTCGGCAGGACTGATGCGGGCAGTGGCGGACATCGTCGGGGCCTTCCCGGGGGTCGTGCCTGTCGATAGCTTACCCAACGTCCCTCCTCCTGGCTTCCCCGAAGAGGCAGGGCCCTCCGTGCTGCGGGTGGAGGCCCCGCCCTGCGTGCCCTCCGCGGAGGTCGAGCTGCTAGCGGCGGAGGCGAGCGATGGTCGGAGATGCTCATTCGGCGCGGTCGTCTTCGAGCCTTGCGGGTTGGATGTCGAGATGGTGATTGACAATTCTTTGTTTTCGTTTCGAATGATTTAGGCGGTCTGCAGCAGAGAATCCGACAGTGCTGGTGCCATCCAGTCCGAGCGGTGCTCTTTCATCCCCGTTCGGGGCTTGACCCGCTCGAGCCTTGCGGGCTGGGGCCTGCCCGCGCGGAGGGCGCGCGGAGGGCGCGCCGCGGCCGCCTCCCCAGGCGGCCGACGCCGAGGCGCAGGCGAAGCCCCCCGCGGCTGCCGCAGGACGGCGGCAGGCGCCGCCTCTGCCGCCACCGGCCTGGCACAACGTGGACCGCGTCGTGTGCCCCAGACGCGGCTTCCGCAGGGCTGCTGCTGGCGAGGGCCAGCGTCAACATCGGGTGCCAGTTCCTGGTGGACGAGTCGGTGGCCCCCCCAGGAGCTAGGGCGCCGCAGGCCCTGGAAGGTACGCGCCCGCTCCTTCGGGAACGCGGACGTCGTGACGTGCCGCCCCAGGTCCTGGTTCAAGGACCGCCAGGCCGAGCATGAGGCGGACGACGAAGACGCGACAGCAGGGCGCGCGCCGCGTGCGCAATGCCTACCGCGGCCCTCTGCAGTCTCGGGATGGGGCCCCCGAGAGGGGCGTTGCCGCGCGTTGCCGCCCAGCGGCGGAGTCACCACCGAGGGCTGCGTACCTGCTGGACTGCCAGCCCGAGCCGGGTCGAGCCTCGGGCCTCCCGAGTCAGGCTGCGCCGAGGCCGAGGGCGCTGCGCGGCCGCCCGGCGGCCGCTCCTGGCTGAGTCCCGATGGGGGCCCACGGCAGCAGCTGCGGCTGCTGGCCCGGCGGAGGCGATGGCGGACACCGCGCCTCGCCGACCTCCCCGCGTCCTCGATGCGACCCGACGCCTCCTCCGCGAGGCCATCGACGACCACCTCCCGGAACGCAGCGGTGCGCAGCTGCTCGTCGCTGGCGCGGCTCCAGGCTATGGATGGGCACTGCGTGAGCACCTCCGACACCTCACCGGCGGGACCAGCGACGCCGCCAACCGGATCGCCTCCGACGGGCTCCTGGAACGAGAGTTCGTCCCGGGGGAGGCCGCCCGCGGGGCGACCTCCGGCGCAGCGGATGGAACCTGAGCCACTGTCTGAGCCCAGGCACGGGCAGATGCAGCGCCGACAGCCGGTGGGCTTCCGACGGGTCCCTGGAGGCGGGGGCCCGTCCCGAGGGAGGCTGCCCGTGAGGCAGCCTCGGGCGCCGCGCCATAGTGCCCGAGCCGCTGTCCGGGCCCTGCGCTCGTGCAGGCAAGCGCAGCGGGAGGCCAGCTGCGCGGCTGGCCTCACGGCATGCCCCTCGGCAGCATGCCGAGTGGCGCCCCGCACGCTGAGGCGCGCCAGTTTGCCCGTCGCGGAGTCATGCCCAGCGGTGCCCACGGCGATCTCTCGCCTGGCATGGCGTGGCGATGATGAGGGCTGTCTGACTGCGGAGGCCACCCTTCGTCTACCCCTCGATGAATCCTCCCCCTCCTCCTTCTCTCAGGAGAGAAAGAAACACACAGACACAATTAATCCTCGATTCCCCAGAAAATATTGGAAAATATGGGAAGTGGGGGGGAAGACAGAAACCAAACAAATATGGACAAATATGGGGAATCTGTTTATTTGTGTGTATTTATTTGTGTGTCCTGGGGCCCCTTCATTCTCCTTCTCCTCCTCCTCCACCCTGTTTCTTAATCCTCCCTGTCCCACTCGGAGGCGTATCGGTAGGGCGGGACTGGCGTTTCGCTTGACACTCCCTTACAATGCACGATCCTTGAGTTGAGAACTTGCAGCAGCTTCAAGGATGGAGACGTGCTCCTTTCCAAAATGTGGCTCTCGCCTCAGCGCCGCGCGCATTCGTTTTAGCAGGTTGCAGAAGCTTGGCGGATGGAGGGCGGTACCTGTTCAGCATGCAGTTCTTGCCTTACCGCCGCGCGTATCCGCCTTAAGAGTTTACAGTAATGTCAAGGATTCTTACGGTTGCCGCCCCAGCACGTGTGATGCGGCACGCTGTAGGACCGTCAGGGCGCAACAGTTACGCTGATTCGCGGTATTGAAGTCCTGGGGGCGATGGTCTCGGAGTCTGGCGCGATTCAGGATCGCCACGACGTGACAGTAACGATGATTCGCGGCTTTGAAGTCCAAGGAAGGGTGATTTGGCACGGATCATGATTTTCAAATGGTTGTCTTCCAACGGGGTATTTCCGACTGAAAATGACTCGTTGTAGGGACCCATGAAGAGGGAAATTGGAAGGAGGGTTTATTGCCGCGTGAGTCTTGGGTTTGCACTGGTCCTCCTCCTCCTCCTCCTCCTCGTCCTCCTCTTCCTCTTCCCCACATCATCTCCCTTCTCGTCCGCCTCCTCCTCCTCCTCGTCCTCTTCCTCCTCCCCCTCTTCTTTTCGCGCGGAAGAAACTCATCACGACAGTCTGCAGCAGGTCCAGAGATGGAGGCAGGTTTCTTTTCAACATGTGGTTATCGCCTTAGCGCCGCGCGC